GTGCACTTGGAGGGTTAAATGCAGAGCACAAATTCCGAGTATGGGTCAACATACTTGGCCACACTCACTTCACTTTATTTATTGATTGATTGAATAATTCATTCATTACTTTCAGTTGCTTGTTTATTTTACTTTGTAACACATGTAACAGTTTTTAACAGTTCTGCAATAATAAAATATTCACTTTATATATATATATATTTGATCTGAAGAAGTGCAATTTATGATACTATTGTTGTCAGATTTTTATTTCTGATTTTACTTATGGTCTGTTAATGAGAGAAGTAACAATGTCATGAATTCATGATTCATGAATTTTTGCAAATGAGCATCTTCAGTGAACCATTTTTTCCAGTTCATGCAAGTCTTAAAGGAATAGTTCACCCAAAAATGAAAATGTTGTCGTCATTTACTCACCCTTAAGTTGTTTCATTCACTTTGTGAATTTCTTTTTTTCTGTATAACACAAAAGAAGATGTTATGAAGAATGTGGGTAAGTACTGGAAAAAAAAATACTATAGTCAATGGGGATCAGAAACCGTTTGCTGTGGAAGTCAATGGGGACCAGCAACTATTTGGTTACCCACATTCTTAAAAATATCTTCTTTTATGTTCAACAGAAGAAATAAACTCATACAGGTTTGATACAACTTGAGGATGAGTAAATAATGACAGAATCTTCATTTTTGAGTGAACTTTCCGTTTAATGATTCATGCACAAATTGAACTGATTCAGCGTTTTTGGGTGAACTACTCCTTTAAAAAATGACTAACCCAGATTCGGCTTGCTTAAATGTACACTGGTGAAAAGTCAATAGGTTTGTGTGTTCTCAATCTGTTTGGGAAGAATTTTTGGCATGTCCAGACCAGAACTGATTTTCATGAAACCTTTGATTCACTCAACTATTGATAACTCGATGAGCTTTTACATGTGCCAAGGCCTCATCAGACGTGGCAGGACATTTTGGCCATCTCACTCTCAGCTGCAGCATGCCTGCGGTTCAAGACTCTCAGAAGAAATTTTCCACGTGATTTTCTAGCCCCCAAGACCCACAGTTATTCCTTAACCATGCCATAAATTTGGGCTAATATGGGAGCAAGCCACACCTCAGAAACGGCAGCACAAATGATCCTGAAGATTGAACGGTTACTGGACTGAATTTTTCACCAGAATGGCAAGCCAAAGAATGTTTTAAGTTCAAGTCTTATTCATTTCAATAAAAATGTAGGTAACCAATGTAAAAGTGATTTGTATATTACAGACGATTAATTGCATTTGCGATAATATCGCGATATGAGAAAACGCGATTTTTCAATCGCAGGGGCTGCGATTACACTCAGTCACGTGACACGCGAGAGTGAAGAGGTGTGTTCCACTTGAAGATCGATCGGTGTATGACATCAAAGAACAGCGAGAGAAAGCATAAGGAGACGTCTGCACTATTTTATAGCTGTCGCAGTACTTTGATGACACACACTCATCGGTCTAAGCAGCGCTGCTTCAAGTCGAGCGCGGGCCATCAGCAGAAAAAGAAAATAAATAAAACAGTAAACAGCCAAAGGACATAACTTAGAATGGGAGATGGATCGGTTTGTGAAAGGGAAGAGAAAAGCCATAGATGAAGTCTATCTTGCATATCTTGCTCTCGGCTTCACTCACCGTGTCTATACCAGACGCTACAGTTGTTGCGTCGCACCACAACAGCTCTACACTGGACGCGACCAAGCGACTGTTGCAAATCATTTTAACTTTGTGTCAGTACGACATAAATAAAACAAGGCATCAGTTTAATGTTGCGCCGCATCCAGTGTACACAGCGTCACTGATTATAATGGGTTCTACTGTATTTTGCCGCTCGCGTCCGGTGTAGACACTGTGTTTAATGTCGTTGGTGAGGAGGAAAGCCTGTGTGTGTCCTATGCCTTAGC